CTTTGTGATTTTGTTTTGTATTGCGACCACCTCCCCCTTGTTTCTAGGGGAATGTCTATCTTTTCCCTAAATAAACCTTTTGTTTTTAGTATAAGTGCTCACAAGTGCTATGCGAGCGGTGAGGTAAGGTCAGACTCGTAAATTGGGGTACATGGCTTCTTTGGGAGCAGGGGATCTGGGATTTCTGTGAGTAATCAGTGTCAGGGGCTGGATGTAACAAGGGGGATGCTTCAAGGAGACTACAGTGCACCTCTTGTTTACCTGCGAAGTAAAGACAGGGCTGGCACAGCTCAGAGGAGAGTGTTTGGGTGGCTGAGCAACATAACTCGGTTGACTTAATTTTTGAGTGTAGACCTGGATTTAGGAAGAAAAAAGAATCAAATGGACAACTAGAAAAGGGAGAGCCCTGGCTAGCAGTAATACAACTTGAAAAGGATCTGGGGTTATAGTGGATCACAGATTGGATACGAGTCAATACAATACAGGCTAATATCGTGCTGGGGTGTATTAACAGGAGTGTTGCACGTAAGACATGGGAGGTAACTGTCCTGCTCTACTCAGCCCTGGTGAGGCCTCAGCTGGATAGCGTGTCCAGTTGTGGGCGCTGCGCTTTAGGAGAGATGTGGACAAACTGGAGAGAATCCAGAGGAGAGCAACAAAAATGATCCAAGGTTTAGAAAACCTGATCTATGAGGGGGGAAAATGGAGCATATTTAGTCCTTACAAAAGAAGACAGGAAGGGAGGACCTAATAACATATTTCAAATAGAGCCAGGGCGATTATAAAGAGGACAGTGATCGTTTGTTCTCCATGTTCACCTACGGCAGGACAAGAAGTAAGCAGCTCAGTTTTCAGGCAGGGAGATGTAGGTCAGAGATTGGGAAAACTTTTCTAACTCTAAGGGTACGTTGACACTACCCGCTGGATCGGTGGGTAGCGATCGATCTATCAGGGATCGATGTATTGCGTGTAGTGTAGACACGATAAATTGATCCCTGATCGCTCTCCCGTCGACTGCTGAACTCCAGCAGTGCGAGAGGCGGAAGCAGAGTCAACGGGGGAGCTGCGGCCGTCGATCCAGCGCTGCGAGGACGCAAAGTAAATAATTTTAATTTGATCTAAGATACGTCAACTTCAGCTACGCTATTCTCATAGCTGAAGTCGTGTATCTTAGATTGACCCTCCCCAGTGTAGACCAGGCCTAAGGATAGTTAAACTCTGGATCAGGCTTCCAAGGGAGGCTGTGGCCTCCCTGTCCCTGGAATTTTGGATGAACAGGTTGCACAAATATCGGTCAGGGATGGTCTAGACAGGATTGGTCCTGCCTCAGTGCAGGGGGCTGGACTAGATGAGCTCGGGGGGTCCCTTCCAGACCAACTTTTCTTTGTGAGGAATGAATGGCAATGCTGTA